CATGCTGGAGCTTGTTTGCGATTCTGGGACTGCATGGTCACATGTTCTGCTGAGCTCCCCACGCTGACCAAACAGGCAATGAAATTCACAAGTTCCCCGAGGCTTTTCCTGTGTACCTGGCTAGTGCATTGAAGTTGAAAGTGCTGTCCAGAGCGGTCACATTGGAGCACTCAGGGATAGCTCCCAAAGGCCAATACCATTGAATTGCACAGTGCTGCGTCTACAGTACCCCAGATTTGACCCAGGAAGTTTGATTTTAGCACTACTCCCCTCGTTGTGGAGGAGTACAGCAGTTGATTTTAAGAGCCCTTTAGGGCGGTGGAACGGGGTTGATTGTGTAGCTGCATTCCTTATAAAATCGAAGTAACACGGCTAAATTCGACCTAACCTTGTAGTGTAGACCAGGTCTTATACATGTACTTAACTTTAAGCTGTGAATAGTTCCATTGAAGTCAATGGTACTTCTCAGTTTAAAGCTTAGCATGTGCATAAGCCTTTGTAGGATTGTGATTTAGGACCTGACGTGTTCAGATCTGTTAGCATGGACCAAGCTGTGGTCCATGCTAGCAAATCTAAAGCCTTGTCTACACTGGCAAATTTCTGTGCAGTAAAGCAGCTTTCTGCATTGTAACTCCCGTGGTGTACACACTGCCAGGCCAGGCAGCACAGCTCCGGCTCTGAGCAGTCTCTACTGCCTGCCACCTGTGGGGCCTCACCCACCTCCCCGGCTCGAGCTGCCTGGTACCGCTGCAGAGGCCAGGCTGGTCTTAGCCAGTGGGGTGGGGGACAGCACGCCCTCCGCCCCGCCAGGCAAGTGGGACTCCTGAGGAAACCCAGCCTGGACAGCTCCCCAGCCACTCCAGCCTGGCTGGTCGTGCTGCTGTTCCCAATGGGCTGGAGCACTGCTCCAACCCACCCAGGACACTCTGCTGGCTTGGCCTGGCAGACACGATGTGGGGTGGGGGGCAGGAAGTGGGGGAGTGCGACTCTGGGTGTTTGGGTGGGGTGCTGGGCAGTGAAGGGTCTGTGGGGGGGGTGCTGGCTGTGGGGTGATCTGTGTGAATTGGGGCACTGGGTAGTGGGGGGGTCTTTATGGAGCACTGTGCAGTTGTGGTGCTGGGAGTATATGGGGATACTGGGTAGTGGAGGTTCGGGGGGGGGGCCTGGGCATAGGGGTCTGTGGGCGCGCTGGGCAGTGGGTGGTGGTGTGCAGTTGTGGTGGTGGGGTCTCTGGGCGGGGGGAGTGCTGGATATAGAGGTCGGGGGTGGAGGTGCTTGGCTAGGGGGCATCGTGGCACGTAGTGTGGGCCTGCCCCTGAGGGGAAGGGCCGTGCTGGCAGTGCAGGGCCAGGCCAGCCAGTGTGCATCTCGTGGCTGCCGGTTTGTAAACAGTGCTCTCGCACTTTGCTGGGCAGAGTTGGGCAGGGCAGGGACACCCCTGCTGCACCATGCTCCACTTCCCACAACCGGACCCTCGCTATGGAAACTGACCCTCCAAGTATGCCCCATTGCCCCCATGGGGGCCCACAGATATGTTTGGCGCTGAGATCACAAAAGGCTAATCCGACCTGTAAGTGGATGGAACGAATGAGGGAGGAGAATGGATTGGGAAGACAGGAGTCATTGCTGGGTATGACACAGGCAGAAGGGGGATGAGAGCTCTAGCCGCAGGTGATCAAAATGACCTTACCCACTTTCCCAAATGTGTTGGGTAACACAAATTCTCTCTCACACACACACAGATTTTGGTGGGGGACAACTTTAACCGTTATTCCAGCCAGGGGCTCCTTAGGCACCTGGAAATGCTAGGGTTTTTTTTAGAGTAACAGCCGTGTTAGTCTGTATTCGCAAAAAGAAAAGGAGTACTTGTGGCACCTTAGAAAGTAACCAATTTATTTGAGCATAAGCTTTCGTGAGCTACAGCTCACTTCATCGGATGCATACTGTGGAAAGTTTAGAAGATCTTATTATATACACACAAAGCATGAAAAAATACCTCCTCCCGCCCACTCTCCTGCTGGTAATAGCTTATCTAAAGTGATCACTCTCCTTACAATGTGTATGATAATCAAGGTGGGCCATTTCCAACACAAATCCAGGTTTTCTCACACACACTCCCCCCCACCCACACACACAAACTCACTCTCCTGCTGGTAATAGCTTAGCCTGGTCCAGTCCACACAAGAGATCCACTTCCTGGACACTACAGTGCTAATAAACGATGGTCACATAAACACCACCCTATACCGGAAACCTACTGACCGCTATTCCTACCTACATGCCTCCAGCTTTCACCCTGACCACACCACACGATCCATCGTCTACAGCCAAACTCTGCGATACAACCGCATTTGCTCCAACCCCTCAGACAGAGACAGACACCTACAAGATCTCTATCAAGCATTCTTACAACTACAATACCCACCTGCGGAAGTGAAGAAACAGATTGATAGAGCCACAAGAGTTCCCAGAAGTCACCTACTACAGGACAGGCCTAACAAAGAAAATAACAGAACGCCACTAGCCGTCACCTTCAGCCCCCAGCTAAAACCCCTCCAATGCATTATTAAGGATCTACAACCTATCCTGAAGGATGACCCAACACTCTCACAAATCTTGGGAGACAGGCCAGTCCTTGCCTACAGACAGCACCCCAACCTGAAGCAAATACTCACCAGCAACCACATACCACACAACAGAACCACTAACCCAGGAACCTATCCTTGCAACAAAGCCCGTTGCCAACTGTGCCCACATATCTATTCAGGGGACACCATCACAGGGCCTAATCACATCAGCCACACTATCAGAGGCTCGTTCACCTGCACATCCACCAATGTGATATATGCCATCATGTGCCAGCAATGCCCCTCTGCCATGTACATTGATCAAACTGGACAATCTCTACGTAAAATAGTAAATGGACACAAATCAGATGTCAAGAATTATAACATTCATAAACCAGTCGGAGAACACTTCAATCTCTCTGGTCACGCGATTACAGACATGAAAGTTGCTATTTTACAACAAAAAAACTTCAAATCCAGACTCCAGCGAGAAACTGCTGAATTGGAATTCATTTGCAAATTGGATACAATTAACTTAGGCTTGAATAGAGACTGGGAGTGGCTTAGTCATTATACAAGGTAGCCTACTTCCCCTTGTTTTTTCCTACCCCCTCCCCCCCAGACGTTCTTGTTAAACCCTGGATTTGTACTGGAAATGGCCCACCTTGATTATCATACACAATGTAAGGAGAGTGGTCACTTTGGATAAGCTATTACCATCAGGAGAGTGAGTTTGTGTGGGGGGAGGGGGGTGAGAAAACCTGGATTTGTGTTGGAAATGGCCCAACTTGATTATCACACATTGTAAGGAGAGGTTTCAGAGTAACAGCCCTGTTAGTCTGTATTCGCAAAAAGAAAAGGAGTACTTGTGGCACCTTAGAGACTAACCAATTTATTTGTTACAGGTAGCTCACGAAAGCTCATGCTCAAATAAATTGGTTAGTCTCTAAGGTGTCACAAGAACTCCTTTTCTTATTGTAAGGAGAGTGATCACTTTAGATAAGCTATTACCAGCAGGAGAGTGGGCGGGAGGAGGTATTTTTTCATGCTTTGTGTGTATATAATAAGATCTTCTAAACTTTCCACAGTATGCATCTGATGAAGTGAGCTGTAGCTCACGAAAGCTCATGCTCAAATAAATTGGTTACTCTCTAAGGTGCCACAAGTCCTCCTCTTCTTTTTTAGGGTTTTTTTGTTTTTTGTTTTTGCAGGTATCAGAAATTAGCTGACAGGAGCACTCTAGCTAATTCCTATATAAAAAAGAGAAATAAATACCCACAATGGGATCTGGGAGTGCAAATGTCAAAGGACAGATAAAAACAACAACCTGTGATTGTGAGAGCAGGGAGGAGGGCTGGCTTATGACTGTTGATCCCTGAAGCTGGCAATACTGTAATACCTGCTCCTTGAAGAGAAAGTCCCATTCACCCCTGACCTGCCCTGGCCCCAGAGGTTCTGCTGCCACCCGGGGTCCTGGCCACTGGCCCTGAGGCTCTGGAGCTGTCCCAGCGTGGGGCGGTGACGGACACAGACAAGGGCAAGCAAACAGACTGCGCGCCACCCCCACCCTCAAAATTGTTCCAGTGCCACAGGATCCACCCCTTCTGCCTGAGCCCCTGCCCCTTCTGGGGGCCCGGAGCTAGCCCCCCCCCCCCTTTGCCCAGGGGCCTGGCAGCCCTGCCTACCGGTAAGCGATTTAAGTTGCTTTCACCCCTGCCCACACCCCAACCCGCCCTCCCAGCCAGCGCCCTGACAACGAGCAAGTGAGGGAGGGGGGATGGAGTGAGCAGGGGCGGGACCTTGAAGAAGGGGCGGGGCCTCAGAAGAGGGATGGGACCAGCGTGTCGGGTTTTGCGCCGGTACATAGTGGGCAACTGTTCCCCCGCCCACTGCCCATCCCACCCCAGCAACGCTCCGCCCCCTCCTCCTCCTCCCGCGGGCGGGGCGTAGCGCTGACGCGCAGGGCCTGCTGGGCCCCGATAGGCGGGGAAGGAGGAAGGGGATACTGTTTGGGATTGGGCGGGTGAGGGGGGCGATGGGAGGACGCACGGTTTCCCTGGCCCCACCCGCAGCGTCGCGCAGGGCTTCACGGGAGGGGAGCTGATCACGTGGCGTGAGCCGGGTGGATATTTATAGCCACGCGCGCGCGCGCGCTCAAGATCGCTGGTCGCTCTGATTTGCTTCCTGGTGGCGCGCGGTGGGACGGCGGCAGCGTGAGGCACGCGCGGGAGAGGAGTCGGGTGCGTCTGAGGGTCTCTGGGTCCCCTGCTGGGCGGCGGCTGCGCAGGGTTCGGCGCGGCGGGGGGGGAGGGGGGAAGAGGGAGCGGGACGCCCCCGGGCTGAGGGGGCAGGGAGCTCAGCGTCTGCCGGGCGGTCTCGCGCGATTGGGGCGGAGGGGCTCGCGCTCCGCTGCGGGGCTGGCTGAGTGTGCGGGTTTTGGCGGGTTTCTCCCGGCAGGGGGCTCGCGGGTTTGGCGGTTGGCGGGCTTGCGCCCTGCGGCGGGGCTGGCCGGGTGGTTGGGGTTCGGGCGGGCTGGGATCGAGGGGCTGAAGCCGGGGTACGAGGCAAAGGGGCACGTCAGCGCCGGTCCTCGGGGGCCTGGCCGGGGGAGGTAACCCTGCCACGGGGAGACCGGGGGGGGGAGCGGTGGCAGGTGAAGGTCGCGGTTCCGCCTTGTGGGGGGCGGAGGGGGGAAGGTCTCCGATTGGGCTTTCGGCTGGTGGCTGGCGGGGGCGCCGCATGTCCGAGGGCTCTAGCTTCGGCGTCCTGCTCTGGATCCCGCGGCCCGCGCTGGGAGGGTGACGCAGCTCCCCGCCTCGGGGTCTGCCCTGCCCGCACAACAGCCAGTGCGGTCCCTCTCTCACGGGGCGGGGACGCGGGGGGGGTCCAGGCGCCCTGCCCCGAGGAGCCCCTCCGTGGTGTGAACGGGCGAAACGGGTGTATGCGGATTAAATGTGCCACCGCCTTGTACTGGTTTGCCCCTCACACGGGATTGATTGCTGTGAGGGGCTCGTGGAGCTGAGCGGAGGCTGCCCTTGTGGCAGGTGGGAGCCCATGGCTGGCTTCTTCTGACAGACGTGCATGCCACTGGGCAAACTGAACTTGTGCTTTCTGCTCTGACTAATAAATTTGCTTTTCTGTGTCTTTGCCTTTGTTATAAAACACAGGTTTGTAGTCAGATGAATTTCAGTATGAAGGAGAAATTGGATGCAGGAAAAGCCTCAGGAAGGATAAAGGTCTGTAACCTAACTCAGCATTACTCAATCTTTAAAGTGGTCTATGAAGGTAAAAATAAATAGATCAGATTGTAATGACAGACTTTGTGCTGGTATCTGTAATCACTCCAGACTTAGCTGAGCTCTTTATATCCACACCATTTTATAATGCTAGCTAAAAAGAGATCATGTGCCTTTCTTATCGTGAAAGATGTCATATTGATGCTCTGGAGACTCAGTCCTTCTGTTTTTTTGCAGAACAGGTATGTAGTTCACAAAGACACTGAAAATATGCCACCCTGAGGATAAAGAATTACAAACTGCTTAGCCTGCACTGAGTTTTTCCCAGTGTTTCAATGATCTTTTAAGTATGTGCATTTAGTTCCAGGCACATGTTTTTATATGGCAAACTTCAAATGCTACTAACCTGGATCACACTTGAATTGGTGACTTACTGGCTTCGTATCTTGTTACCAGTTCCCTAAATCACACAGTCAATGTAAAGCTAATTCTACTAGATTTTATCATGCAATAATACATAAAATAGTATAACTGATTAGAGAACTCTTCAAGTCTGCATTTCCCAGCCCTGTAGCTGGCTTCCCTTATCAGCATGGGTCTTAGACAGCAAAGAAAATAAACCAGAAGAAATAGGGGGGGCTTTAGAATCTGTTCCATGTGAGACTACTTAAAATGAGTTAATTTCATAATGAGTTAGATTTGATCCCTCTAAACTAAGATCCTAATAAAAAAAAATCTGTGTTGCAGTTTTCTGAAACAATGCTCTTATTTTTGTGCTTGAAAAAAATCATTAGAATGAGACTTCATACATGAAGTTGGGCACTTGACCATTGCTTTAGTCTTCAGGTAGTAGTTTTGAATGTATACCGTTGCATAATTCATATACGCTGTGCATATAAAATTGTTGCTAAATGCACGAGGGGGACCAAGTTATTAAATGTCTGACTTGTGAGTAGAACCATCATAATACTAATCTTCAAAAAATTCCCCACACTGGAAACTCTAGACTCCAGAGCATGTAAAACTCAAAATGGGGTGCCTAAGATAGCAGGGAAGTTGCTTGGTTATTTTTGTGGCCTCTTTAAACTGGGGATTTCAAGAGATGACCTTCCAAGGTGAATGTCCAGCCCAGAGGAAAGGACTGTCTTCACATTGTGCCTGGCTTTAGTAGGGAAAGTAATAAGCTGTGCTGTTAGTACCCTACTACCAGTAACCTTGCTTTACTCCTTTTTTCAAATTTGCCTAGTATGTAGTCAGTCTTAAATCCAAATCTAAAACAAATAGTTTTATTTGGAGACTTTTTACTCTTAATATAAAAGTAGAGCAATGATGTACCTAATACAAGACTAGTGTAATCAGGAGAGTATCTGAATTCTGGACACTTAAGAACAAGTATAAGACTTCCCTAAAAACTTGTAGTCTTGACTTTATTTGGTGTGTTGGGTGAAGTCCTGGATGACTCAGTCTAGGGAAAGATATGGGGGGTAAAAGTCACCTAGGAGTAATTTGGGTATTATAATGTTGAGTGGCACTTAATCATATGTTCCTAATTCTGCCTAGTGGAAAATCTGTATTCTTACTTACAGGAACTTTAAAATTGCTCAGTGTTGTAGGGTGTGAAGACTAATCCTGTACCCTTAAAAGGATAAATAGTAAATCTGTGTAATGAAAAGTTTGTTTTTATCAGACATGTCCATGACTAAACACTTATTCTTGGGCTCATCTTAGCAAGCAAATGGCCATGATCTTACTTTGGTGTCTGGCTGACTCACTTTTCTGGATGCTTCACTGGTTATCTCAAATATGAAGAACAATGGGTTAACTTAAGCACCTGGCATAGTATTAACTGCATTTTGCCAGGGGAACATTGACCAATCATAGTCTTCAGTAGCTGCAAATAGCATCTGTAATGCTGGTTCCCACGGTAGTTGGCATTTGTCCTCAAGTTCAACACCAAGCTAATTGGTGGCAGAAATTTTACCGTGGGAAAGGTGAACTCTTCTCATGTGAAGTACAGTGTGAATCAGTAACTTTCTCACGCTTGTATGGTATTGTGTTCTTGCTATCCTTGTTTGATTGTCTACCATTGTTTACTGTCCCATGGTGGCAGTGTAACTAATGGTTTAAAAGCTTTAATGCAGGAAATAGGTATTGACATAGGACAAGGAAAGGTGATAAATATTCTGTTCCACAAAACAATAGCCTTCCTGGATCAGTGTTATGCCCCAAGCAAGGAAATTCTAGATGCCTGTTGATGAATGAATGGTTGAAGTAGAACTTCTGTTAAATGCATACAGCCCTTGAAGAACCACTTACATATAGACAGGTTTCAGAGCGGCAGCCATGTTAGTCTATATCCACAAAAAGAAAAGGAGTACTTGTAACACCTTAGAGACTAAAATTTATTTGCGCCTAAGCTTTCGTGAGCTACAGCTCACTTCATCGGATGCATGCAGTGGAAAATACAGTAGGGGGATTTTATAAACACAGAGAACATGAAACAATGGGTGTTACCATACACGCTAACGCGAGTGATCATTGTAACACCCATTGTTTCATGTTCTCTGTGTATATAAAATCCCCCTACTGTATTTTCCACTGCATGCATCTGATGAAGTGAGCCGTAGCTCACGAAAGCTTAGGCTCAAATTTTAGTCTCTAAGGTGCCACAAGTACTCCTTTTCTTTTTGCACTTACATATAGATAGTAAAAAATGAACCTTGCATAATTACTGTGCATGTTTTCCAGTTTAAACTGATGAAATCACCTTGAACAAAAAATAAGGATCACTCTAACAACTCAAAACAGTTATCAAAGTGCAGAAGCATTCATCTGTGGTGAATGGCTAGTATAATTTGCGAGATTAAACAGAACACTTGCACTATACAGAACACTTGCACTATAATTTAATTGGGAATCCAATTAGAACACAGCTGGTACCTGACCTGTTTAAAATAGTTCTACTTTGTAGTGTAAATGAGATGGAGTGTCTTAACCAAGATAAGGCTTATGTAGGTCTTCAGCTTTTTATCGAACAGTTAAGATCCAGCTTTACAATTATAATATAGTTTGTATCTGTAGCAGAGTAGTAAACCCTAAACTAAATTAAAACAAAGCTTGTTAATCCTATCTGTAGGAAAGACAAGTGGATTGATAGTTTAATCCATTACCTTAATGTGGCATGAGAAACTTCATAAATTACCCTACTCCATCCAGGAGTTTAACTGCTTTGTATTAAAACTTTTCTCTTTTCAAGAAGTACGTCACAGACAAGGCAAACTCAGCCCCAAGACGGACTCTTAAAACAATTCAGCCTTCAACAGCAGGTTGCCTTATTGGCAGGGTAAATGAAGTAAGTATTTAGATGTAATAACTCTACAACACAATCTGTAACAGTAACTAAATGCTGTTATGTTTAATGTAGAAGGGCTAAGGTACTATAATATCCATTAACTGTAACAAGAACCTTTAAACTGTATAGTAATTACATCATTTAGCTTTGTTGAATAGTAAATCTAGCATAAATATTTCAAATACTTTGAAAGCACTTGAGTAGAAATGCTTGTTCATCAGACCTATACTGCTAGTGCAAGAAAGCTGTCTGATGGCTGAGAAAATGTTTTGTGAGTTAAGCTTTTCTTCAGGAAATCTGGAGGTGAGTTGGCAAGAAGTTGTGCCACCCTTGAAATACAGATAACTTCTGTACCTATAAGCAATAGGTAAAGGAGAAACTCCATCTGTTAGTATAGCTTAGATGAGTTTGCAAGTCTATGAAGACATGTAAAATGTCAAGGACAAATAGCATCTCGGCAAACCAAACTTACTGTATTACAGCCTGCTAAATGTTCGTTCAAAAGGAAACTTTGGAGTGATCAGCTAACTGCAAAGACCTGCAAAGCTGAGGTTGTGGACCCAAAACAGAAAAATGAAAATCTAAAAGGAGTCACTCAAGCTGTTGATCTCATGGTAAAAAGTATGTTTTCTTGTTTTACACTTCCAGCAATCGCATATTGTTTGAAACTTCATGTGTATCTTGATAATGCTTAATTTTGGTATGCTACTAAAAGCAAATAATGGGCTTAGAATTGGTTAATTGCTACTTGCCAACATTAGGTAGCAACACTTACTCATTTTAATGATCATGTCCTCTTAAGCATCATTCAAACAGATCTATGCAGAGTTTAAAAGTTTTACACTGTCACTTAAGGTGACTTGGCCAGCAGTATGTGAGGCTCAAAAGCATTTAAACTTTGGGAATTGTACTTTAGTTTAGCATGCTGTCACAATTCAGGCCATATTACCACTTGCCAACCAAATTAAGCAGATAGCCTGACCCAGTTTTTTTAAATTGTTCTAAATTAGGAGAGAAAATATCTGGGTTCAAGCTATGTGATTAGTGTCTTGGAAGTTGTCAGCCTTTGCTACTTCTAGTGAGCCTATTCTGCTGCTACTCATTGCAGAAGTGGCTATGTTCAATAGGTCTTGCAGTTGGGACCATTCTGCAATGCACGTTGTGACACTTATTGAAGCAGCTTCAGAAAATGCTCTTCAATAATGTCAAAAGCAAATTAGTATAACCTTGAATTTGACCCAGCTGCCAAATCAAATGTCTCAAGTAACTAAAAGCTCATTTGTTAACCTCTTTGATGGTTTTTAGCAGGTCAGAATGGGTTGTAGAATATTGAAATGACAAATACTCCAAACATATGGAACTCTTATATTTAAATTTACTCTATTTTAATTTGCTTCTAATTCAAGGCTTATTTACATTAGATACACGAGAGATTTTTCGTATTAAACTCTTCCTACAGAAAATCCTCCGTCTCGGTACTGGAAGGAAGTGGCTGAAGAGAGAAGGAAGGCACTGTATGAAGTGCTTCAGGAAAATGAAAAGGTAGTTCATCAGGTTAAATACCTTTTCACTTTTTTCTCTTGGCTAGTCCCTATATAAAACTTTCTTTTTTTTTCTAGCTGCACAAAGAAATTGAACAGAAAGATGGTGAAATTGCCCGTCTAAAAGAAGAAAATGATGAACTGGTATTACTTGCAGAACATGTGCAGTACATGACAAATATGATTGAGGTAATCTCATATGACTTGTTTTCAATCCATAGTATTAACTGTGATGTAAGTGACTGGGGTGTGTATCAAATCATGACTTCTGTTTTTGAGTACATTTTTGTATCCTGTATAGGAAAAACCTGATAAGGTTGGTTTACTATGCTGCAGGTACTGGCCCAAGAATGGTGCTGTACACCTAGCTGAGTGAGTGACTGAGAAGCAATCAGTGTAAGCAATCTAGGAAAATGAACTTTGTATTATCAGCTTGTCCAACCCATATAACAGCGACCCTTCTGATCGTAAGGAATGACATGGAGTTTCTCAGCCTGGACATATACCTGAAGGAAGACACTGCATTGAAGGGTGGTAGATACCACCCCATATAGGCAGAATCTGCTGAAGAGAAGACCGGAAGGGACTCCGCCTAAAAGGTGGACAAGACTTCACACACAATGCTGAAACACTCCCAGGCTGATCTCAAGACTTCTTGCCTTTCAGAGATCTCTAGGGCTTTTTTAAATGATAGTGATTGGCTAAATTCTTCTGAAAATCTTGTTTCTTGCCTTCTGCCACTTTGTCACCAAAGGAATTAAGCCAGGAGCCAGAATTACTTACAACAAAGTGGAACTCTAGGGGAGCATGTTTAAGCAACAGGGGGCTCAGAAGGCTTGAGGCACTAGTTTTATGAACTATGGTAGTTAGATTCCTTAAACCCACAACCCAAGAAGGGGCTCTCAGACAAGGTCTGTGCCAGTGTGCCTTAGCCAGAATCTGTGGGTAGACTCCCCCCACCAGGCCTAGAGGGGCTGAGAAGCATACCAGGACCCAGGATTGGGTCCACTTCCAGTACATTCAATACCCTGACCAGAAGGACAGGGCCAGATTGTAACAGTAACTGTTCAGCCACATGGTGTGGCTCTTGGAAGGTAAATTGTGGATGACTGAGGAATCTTTGTACTCTTGGCTGGAATGAGGTTGGGTGATAAGAGTTATCTAGTGACTCTATCTAATGGGGACTCTGAAGTTAGAAGTACCCCTAAGAGGTATTTGTGCTGAATAAGATTGAGGACTTCAACCTAGGAATCTTGATGATTTCAAAGGCCTGGTCTAAATGTTTGCACTGACATAACTAGAGGTCTCCACACTGGAGACCAAATGTGGACATTTGTATATCTGTATAACCTGTATTTGTAAGCTTACAGACACAAGCTAAACAGATAGGTGCTCACACAGGGTTTTGCACTGATTTCTAACTAAACTGGCTTAAATTGTGTATAGAAAAGTGCTGAGACTGAAGTATATGCAGTGGTGATTCTCCAGTTGGATAATTTAACTCTTGTTATAACATTTCTTGTACATAGTAAATATGGAAGGAATAAATCTGTCTTATAGGATAAGACCACCCCCAAAACTACTGTAAGGGGGTAAAGAAAAGTTTTTTTTGCTCTGAACTGATATGAATAGTTGAAGGTTGGCATTATTCATAATGCAATATTTAAGTTTGTCGAAATTGGGGGTGGCCAGCCTGAGCCTGAGGAGGAGCTAGAATTTACCAATGTACATTGCCAAAGAGCCAGAGTAATACATCAGCAGTGCTCCATCAGCTCCCAGTGCTTCCCCCTTCCTCCTAGTGCCTCCTTATCAGCTGTTCCTGGTATGCAGGAAGCTTGCAGGGAGGGGGCAGGAAGGGGTTAAGTGGGGGCAGGGGCTGAGCAGTGAGCACGCTCCAGCACATTAGAAAGTTGGCACCTGTAGCTCCAGCCCTGGAGTCGGTGCTTATACAAGGAGCTGCATATTAACTTCTGAAGAGCTGCATGTGGCTCCAGAGCCACAGGTTGGCCACCCCTGGTCTAAATGGAGCCCAAACTCAGCTGTTAGCTGACTCTTGAATGCTCTAAAGCTGGCTGTTATGTCTGGTAAAGAGAAACAACTTAGACAAATTGTTCTGGGTTACCTAAATCTTCAAAACTGTGCGATCTGCTCCTCTAGAACCAAGAACCAACAGGCCAGTACTGAGCTTTATTTTTTCTGGCTTGGCAGCTGTTAAACTATTTGTAAAGCTCTGACATCATAAACTTTACTTTTGTCACAGCAATATATTGTGTGAAACTAGGGAAACAATATTAAGGTGGTATAGTAATAAACTTAATCTCAAACAGTCCCTTAACCAAGAGATGAACTCTTTGATAAAATAGACTTTGCCTCAGCTGCCTGGAAAATCTGGAAGACCTTAATATCAGCAAGCCAGATGCAACTTGCAATTGTAGACTGCATTTTTGGGGTGAGAGTGTCTGCTTTTCATTAGGCAGGGTTTCTGTCACTCAGAAGCATAACCTTATCACTTGACTTAGCTAATATGTGACTGATCAGTAAAACTGAATGCATTTAGACTTGGTGCTCTAAATATATCAATATTTTCTATGGAAATTAAAGTGCATCCTTATAGAAACACAACTTTAACACATTCTTAAGAGTTCTCTCCTGTATCTTCTAGAGACTAACTGGGCAGGCACCTGATGGCCTTGAGTCACTGAAAAATCTAGACTTGGAGGAATTTGAGCAGGAGGATGAAGAGAGTGATTCTGAGGGTGATGTAGATCGGGATTCTGAAGAGTTGCCTTCACAAGTCTCATGTGATTCTAGGGAGAATGTCACAGATTCATCTGCAAAGAAAGCTAGAAGTCTGTAAAAATGGCTTGGCAAACTTGAGTGGCCAGTGTGCACGTGGCTTCCTATTTTAATTGCTAAATGACTGTCAGAAGAATATACTGCCAAAGTTTACCTCAGATAAAAGTTACAAGTCTTGTGGAAGCTTTAAAAGTTCACAATGGGTTTTAACTGGTAATATGTAGCAATGGAAATAGCTGTATACTACCTAAACAAGGTATTAGACTGAATTTGGTCACTTCTATAAAATAGAAATACTATGTATTTCTAAGTTGTGTAAATAGTATCTGTTGCTTTGACATGAGAATGTGTACTTGATAAATAAACTAAACTCTACCAAAACTCTCTGCTTCTTAGGTGGTGCATGTGGGGGACAGATTGCTACAGTCTCATACTCTGGGAGATGTAGAAGTCTGGTAGTCACTGAACAAACATGAACATACAGCATAAACAAGTGATATTTAGTTCATGCCTCACGGAACTGCTCAGTGTAATACAAATTTGAGTACTGTATAATTTGTTTTAGAACTTAATTTGTCTCAAACTAGAATTAAGGGTAACAATTCTCTAGGCAAGCCTTTCTGGGTGAATTGTAAAAAATCTACAGGTGGGCTACTAAGAGGATCTAGTTATGACAGTTCTCTTCTGTCTGTAAAAGGGCTTGGCGGCATCAAGCCACACTCACATAGGATTCTTTCCTGATGTGAGTTGTATAGGCTATGGTGGGAGTTCACTACATGCCAGAAGTGCAACCAACAAAATGGTCACTTGGGGAATATCTTGCCTGGATGGTGTTATGGATGGATTAGCTAACTCCATTGTCCCCTGCTGTTTCTGGTGAAGACTAAGCTGCATCAGGAGGAAATCTACAAATGATTTCTTTGGATATTTATCCTCTTCCTTTCTCCAATGAACTGTTACTAGACACTTCCTGCATCTCAGATACTCCTTGAATCCAGGTACAACTTGTGTAAAAACTTCTCTCCAGTGTTAAAAGTAGTTCATAAAGTGTTTACTCTTCTGCTCCAGTAAGAGGAAAACATAAGAGGAAGTTCTTCACCTTGTGTAGTAACAATGGTTCTTTGAGATGTGTCCCTATGGGTGCTCCACTTTAGGTGTCTGTGTGCCCCTGCACCTCTAATGAGCCCAAGCATGTGCTCTCCCTCCCTCATGGTCTGCCTCGAGGCTATTTAGCACTGCATAGGCAAACCCCCTCACTTCCTTCTCTACCAGAGCCCTATAGAGAACTCTGAAGTAGAGGGGAGGCGGGCAGGTTGTGGAGCACCCATAGGGACACATATCAAAGAACCATCATTACTGCACAAGGTGAGTAACTTCCTCTTCAAGTAGCATCCCTATGGATGCTCCACTTTAGGTGACTCCAGAGCAGTACCCACCACTGGAGGCTGGGACTTCAGAGCAGAGTCTTTTACTACAGAGTACTGTGGAGTCAAAGATGGTGTCAGCAGCCAAATCTTCAGTGATCGCATATTCTGCTAAAGTAGGGACAGAGGCCCCAATCATTGCCCTATAGTTTAGGGAGATTGGGGTATCCCTATGGAATGTGATTGAGGTAGGAACTGATCTCATGGAGTGCATATGGATGGAAGCAAGCTATGCCCTTGCAAAGTGATTGATGCGACTAGATACCCATTTGGATAGTCTTTGAGGAGATATCAGAGCTTTTGGATCTTTCTGTGGACAAAAGGAAATATGTAGGGCATTTCCTGAAGTCTTCATTCCTGTCCAAGTAGAATGCTAACATCCTTCTAATATCTAGCATATGCACTATTGTCTCCCAGTTGTCACAATGTGGTTTTGGGAAAAAACAGGAACCTGATTCATATGGAAAGTGCAGAAAAAGTAGGGAGAAACTTGGGATATGGCCTTAGTTACTTTCTTTTTTTAAGACAAAGGCTGTGAATGATGGGTGTGCCATCAGGGTTGCTATTTTTCCTGTGTGCCTAGCTGAGGTGATGGCAATTAGAAATGCTGTTGTCATGTACAGGTGTAAGAACAAGTTGCCCTGGACTCAGAGGGAGGTCTAGTCCAAGCCCTGAGAACTAGGTTAAAGTACCAGGCTGGAGCAGGTGGTGTCACATGGGGGAAGAGTCCCAATGCCCTTAAAGAATCTACGCATTAGTGGTTGAGCAAACTCCAAGTGGGAAGCCATTTTCACCATGAGTTGTACCTTAAGGGAGCTGAGAGAGTTTAAAATGTAGTGCAAAATCAAAGGGAGGAAAGATGAGGTTGGGTCTGTCTGTTTGGAATGGTACAAACTTGAAGTTTCCATTTTGTAGATAGGTATGGGGAGTGGTCAGCTTGGGTTGTGTTGCAACATGTTTCGGCTTGTCAGAGCATTCTGCTTCTAAGCCTTGGAACAAAGAAAGATCCAAGCCTGGAGGCACAGGACCCATGGGTTAGGGTGAAGGGTCAGCCCATTGTTTTGAGAGCAGGTGAGGAGTGGGCTGATATCAGAGGAACAGGAGGGCATATTGTCATCTGCATCAGGTAAGGGAGCCAGACTTGTCATAGTCAAGAGGGGCAATCACAATAGCTCTCGCTTCGTTCTGTTGAATTTTCAACAGAATCTTGGGATAGGGTAGGAATCTGGGAAAAGACATACAAGTGGGCCCTGTCCGTGGGAAGATGAGGGCAACTGCCAGTGAATGTTTCCCCAAGCCAGCCCTGGAGCAGTAACAAGGACCTTTCTTGTTCCCATAAGTAGCAAAGAGATCCATAGGCCTCTTAAAAGTTTGGGTTCCCCAAAGGGTGGCTATATCTTGAAGCACCTCTGAACTCAGTATAGTCATTGTCATGAGAATCCTGACTGAGACTGTTGGTTGTCCCGTTCTGTATCCCTTGTAGACAACTGAGATGAGCACATTGTGATGGGTGCATCAGTTCCAAAGTTTGAATGCTGTCTTGCACAGGGAGGGAGAGCTGGTAGCTCCTTGGCAGTTTATACAAAACATACAGGTCACATTAAGTCCATCATAACCTTTGTGGTGTTTTTGATGAAAGGCACAAGCCATGTCAGTACCACTGTCATGGAGACTGGGCTGGCAGCTGTAACAGCTACATCCAGTGGTGTCTCTAGGACTGATCTGGCTATTAACTGACCTTCTCTAAGAATGGTCTGAATTAGTTTTTTGTTTCTGGTAATGTTTCAGAAACATCTTGGGTTTCCCAAGATGAACAATTGTTTTGGCTATGACAGGTCAGTAATTTGACTCTAAACGGTAATGTCGATGAATACACCATCTTGCGAAGCCTGATCATATGGAGTTGACTTGGCATTATGTTGCTTGCTTCATGCATTAACCACATCCACTGTGATGGAGTTGGGTTGCAGATGCTGAAAACAGTGTCTCTCTCTTTGGGTAGAGATTTAGGGTGGCTTTTGTTTACATTCAGTTGCTGGTTGGTGCGATGGAAGCTGGCTCTGCCAGATTTTGGTAGAATCAGCTCATTAATTGGGAGGACAGTTCTAGATGAGAAGGTAGTGTGCAGAATTTCCACCAACTTGTGATGTGTATCTGCCACCTCCTGTAAGGGAATCTGCAGCTTGTCTGTCACCTTGATAAGATCCAGAAAGCTCTTAAATCTTCACCTGTGATGCAGGGTGAGCAGCAGTCTCATCTGGGAGAGATAAGTGTGCTCAAGAGGTAGCTTCCTCTTCAGGTGTGGGTTTTTTCTCTCTCCTCCCCACCCTTCTTTTCTATTCTGAAAAAGCTTTCTTCTGTCTTGGCTCAAGTACCAGGCTGTAGCAAACTATCTGGTGGTCTCTCCCTGAGAGACACCGGAGACGGGTCACGCCATGTGTGTATATACCTGAAGAGTTACAATATGGCCTTGGGAGAGAGAGGCAGGAAGGCAGGCACAGGCAGTTGGCGTGATGGAATTGGGGATGACCCTTGTAGTGTGATGGTGGGCCACCTTGAGGGGCCAGGGAATGATCTCCTCCTGGCCAGTGTCAGATTCGTCAGTGGGTAAGGGTGCCACTAACTGGGGTATTGGCAGTATACAGCCCAGTGCTAAGAGCAATTCTGGGTGCTGGGATGTGCTTGATACTGGGGTCCTGGTACCAAGTAATGGATTGTGGTTCTTCCCCAATCAGGTCTCCAGGGTACCAGAGCTCATGCAGTACCATGGGCTCATTTGGTACCACAGAGGAGGGTCTGTGGTACATTGTCAGTACCGATAGTCAGGCAGAGCACTCCCTAAATGAGTTTTGCCCAGTACAAAAAGTTTGTTGCCCCTTTCTTAGAGATGGTATGGTAATTCTCTCTCTGGGTATTGGGGCCACAGGTCTCCAGAGTATCAGAGCACCTGTTACCATGGGCTCATGCAGAACCCCAGAGGAGTGTCTGTAGTCGGTATCAATGGTTGGGAAGGTGCAGAACACTTCCTAGATGGGAGTTTTGTTGCATCTGGTACCAAAGGGTTTCTCTCTGCCACTCTTTTAGAGATGGTACGGTAACTGTCACCTCTCCTTAGGGGATGGATGGTACCATTGCCTCAGAGCATGACCATGGAAGCCTCTGGTGTCTTGATGCGAAACAGAACTGACAGCAGGGCTTCTGTGCCTCTCTTTTAGAGGTGGTACGGTAACTGTCCCCTCTCAGTGCAGTAATTTCTCAGAGCAGCACAGAGCTTACAGAAGCCACTTGTTGGTGCTGAGAGCAGAACTTGGAGAAGGGCAGAGCCCGCAGCAGGAAGCCCCTGTGCCAAACGGGAGCAGCAGCTGAGCTTACAGCAGTAGGTTCCTCTGCTGGTGTTGTCCTACCAAGGTGGCCGCTCTGGGGAGTTCCACTGGCTGGCCAGCTGCTCGGGGCTAGGTGTGGAGATGGCCAAACTGGGCAACACCCCTCTGGCTGGCCAGTTGCTCCGAGGAGCCTTTCCGGGGGAGTCTGCTATTGGCTTTTTTCTCTCTCCTCCTTTTCACCACTTGACCCCTTTTGAAGTGAAGGCTCCAGGGATGGTCCGGGGTCAACATCCACCGGAGTCCCCTGCAGACTGAAGTGTTTTCTCTATAGGGAGGAATTTTTACTTCTGCTCCTGTGAGGTTGCAGTTTTAGGTGTGGCAGGTAAAGCACTTCTGTGATGGTCTCCTAGGCACAATGAGTGTCTGGCCATTACAGGAACGGACTCCTGGCAAGAGAGGCACTGCTTGGAGCAGAGAGCCGGGCAAGCCCCTGAGCAGGGGGTTGCCCTCCTCCAGCAGGGAGGAATATGCAGAAAAACATCTTTACTTTTTCAGTTTCAAAAAAATAAATAACTGATGCTACTAGATGCCTGGGGTTGAAATGCCCCCAAACAGGGAAGGAAAGTGTTCTTTTCCTTTTTTCTCTCCTTTTTAAACCAAAGGAATAAAATAAAACTAGCCTAAGTACTTTTAGGGAGAACAAAGGTAACAAAACACACTACTTACGCTAATGACACAGATAAGGAAGGGACAACTGTTCGTCAGAGGCCAAAGGCAGTAGAGAAGGAAGTAAGGGGGTTTGCCTGTGCAGTAAGGGAAGTAAGGGGGGGAAGAGAACTAGTTTTTCTAAAATGGGTGGAAAAATGGCTGTGGTCAGTGCTGAAAGCGCAAAAAAAAAGTGTATTGTCAATGAGTCAAAGCTGATTAGTCCCTACCCCAGAGCACTAACTTGTTTGTACAGCTCTTAGTGCAATAGAGCCAAACACATTAGTGGTCTTGGATACTACTACAATATAAATGCTGAACCAGAATAAGTGTGTAAGTGCTGCTAACAAGGGACCACTCTGAAATGTAATTGACTTTTGTTAGAATATTTGCTAATTGTCCACATCTAATCAACTAAGTGGTAGGTATAAGTGGTGAATTTTTAAAAGGTTTGCATTTTACCTAAAAGTGAAAACTCTAGTGTTGCAGTTCTCAACCTGGGGTCCAATCAGCACACAGCTATGGTATATGTAATGTCCTTGGGGCCATACAGGTGGTTTGTGTGTGTACAGTAACTCCTTGCTTAACGTAGTTACGTTCCTGAAAAACGCTACTTCAAGTGAAATAAGTGAATCCAATTTCCTCATAAGAATTAATGTAAATAGGGAAATTTTTTTTGCCAGACAAGACTATTTTGTATATATACACAGTACAAGTTTTAAACAATTTAATACTGTACACAGCAATGATTGTGAAGCTTGGTTGAGGTGAAGTCGGTGGGATGCCTCACTGCTAAATTGAAAGGAGCACTTGTGGCACTTTAGAGACTAATCAATTTATTTGAGCATAAATTTTCGTGAGCTACGGATCATTTCCTCGGATGCATACTAAGCCACAGTATGCATCCGATGAAGTGAGCTGTAGCTCACAAAAGCTTATGCTCAGATTGGTTAGTCTAAGGTGCCACAAGTACTCTTTTTCTTTTTGCGAATACAGACTAACACGGCTGCTACTCTGAAACCTGTCATTACTGCTAAATGATGAACTAGCACTTAGCTGAGCCCTCAAGGGTTAACACATTGTTAATGCAGCCTCACACTCTACAAGACAGCATGAATGGAGGGAGGGGAGACAGCATGACAGACAGAGGCAGAGACTGTGTGTGAGATGCACATTGCCCCTTTAAGTACACTGAGCCCACTCTAAGTACATTGCCTTTTTAAATAGATCAACAAGGTGAGGCAGCAGCTGCTGCCAGCAAGCTCCCTCTGTCCTGAGCCTTGCCATGTCCCCTGTTCTGTGAAGATGGTGGGGGAAGGAGTGGGGAGCAGGAACAGGGGGAGGCAGACACCCTGACATTAGCACCCCTCTCCTCCCTTGCATAACAAGCAGGAGGCTCCCTAGAGCAGCTTCAGGGCAGGGGGAGGGACAGCTAAACTGGCGGGCAGCTGCTGCACAGGGGAGTGGGGAGCTAAGGGGGGCTGCCAGTCCACCCTGGTTCCAACTCCCCACCAGCTAGCTCCAACGGGCTGCTTTTCCTGCAAGCAGTGGGCAAAGCAGGCAGCTGCCAAACAGTGTTATAAGGGAGCATTGTGCAACTTTAAATGAGCATGTTCTCTAATTGATCAGCAACATAACAACGTTAACTGGGATGACTTTAAGTGAGGATTTACTGTATATGTGTTTGTATATATGTTGGATGTGGCCCGCAGTGGTAAATAGCTGGGAACCTCTATTCTAATCAACTTAAAAATATTTTCTACAGAACTGACAGCTATCTAGCTCTTGAAACAGAAAATACTCTGGGAGAGGGGAGGGGTTTAATGCAGTTATCAGTTTCACTTAAAATGGAAGATAGAAACCATTGCTCAATAGCAATAGCAATACTTAATAGTGATCTATATGATCAACAGTTGATTACCTTAATCTCTGCATTGTGAAGGAACAGTGAATGTTATGTAATATTTCCCGAAGTTTATGGGGTTTCAGTCCTCATCTTTGCTATAAAGTAGCTTGGTTTTTGCCTTATGTACTAATCTTCAGTACACTGCAATAAGTATGTTTATCATGCCCTGCAGTCCTGCATGGTTCTGTACATGCGTCAGTCAAGGAAGAGGTAGGACCTGCATTTAGGGAAGTTGACCATTGTGAGAAAATAATCAAGGAAAAAGGGTTCTTGGCATGGTGGAGAGAGGAAGCTTCACCTGGCCTTTTCTTGCTCTCTAATGGCTCTAAAATACAGACACCTAACCAGTTCAATAATACCACTCTGAAGTGTTTAATGGTGCATACGTTTAAAACACTTATCTGAAGATCTCAAATTTCTGAAGTGAGCATCCTAATTGCCCTTATCTTGCAGACATATGCTTACTTTTACTACTGAATGTAGTCCTGTTGATCTCAATGGGAGTCATAGTAAAGTTAATCAGGTGTTTGCTAGATTAAGGTTCAAATGTTTGCACGATGAGAAGCAGTTTTCCTCATCAAATCTGATGAAAATTTGCTTTACTGAACCTCCTCCTCACATAATTTGTGATCTGAAAATGTGAGCTCTGTTTCTAAAATCAAATAAGTTAATGTTTAAAAAATATTTAGTCACAATTTACCATTTGAATTTTTTCTCTTAAAGCTAAATGAAATATATAACAAAACACTGTCTCTATTGCTGTCTTACATGTGGGTATTTTGTAAATTTTTTCTAACACCTTTGTAGAGTCCCTGAAAGTACGTGCCATACACCAAGTATTTTGATTTCATATACCTTGTTATACATTTTCTTTATATAAAGTAGTGTTTGTTATAAGTAGGGTAGAAACTGGCTTGTATTTTCTCAGATGAATATGGCCTGTCACAAGCAAGTTTTCAACAAGTTAAACATCTCAATCATAAATGAGTACATTTAGTTTGCATTTACAGTTTGTGGTATTTTTGGGACAAAAATGTTTCACGTCAAATACAACATGAAATACAGTATTGGAAAACAAAACAAATCATCTTTGTAATTTTAAAAGACAGTGATCATCAGGTCAAGGAGGGGAAGAGAAAGGTAAGAGATCAGAGCAGGCCAGCCTAACAGTGGTTACACAAAAACATAGGAGGCAGGAGAGGGAGGAAATATTGATGTCTTTAAAAGTGAGAAGTGAGGGATTGTAACTGTGGTATTCACTCCCTCTACATGTCGTTCTTGCTCCTATCATAGCAATGGCTTGTTCACCTACTGTTCTCAAACATCAAACAGCAGATCCTTAAAAAGCTACTAGTGTGTGAGCATAGATAGCCAGTAGCACTGGCATCAAGGAGATGGTGTCCAATATAGCCATGTCTTACAGCCTTAAGGCCTTTCAAATGATCCTTCTCCCCTTTGATAAAACATTTTGGGATCTAGATGAAGATTTCTGTATGAGCAAAGTATTTTAAAAAAAAAACAAACTCAACCCTACCACCTTAAAGTTTATTACCTGTTTATAAGCAATCAATGCAGAGGTATTTCTGTGTGGGAAGAGAGGGGGGCCATAGTTGCTCAAATGAGCCACTATGTTCTAAACAAGTTTAAGGCTAGATGTGCACATCTGGAAGCTCTGAGTGGAAACTTAATACAGTAACTCTTCACATAAAGTCATCTCGGTTAACATTGTTTCTTTATTAGGTTGCTGATCTGTTAGAGAACATACTCGTTTAAAGTCGTGCCGTGTTCCGTTATAAGGTTGTTTGGCTCGCCCTGGTCCACCTACCTGCCAGTCACAGCTCGGGGGCCTGCCCCGCCCTGCCCACCCAATACTTCTGCTGGGAAGCGGGGTTGCGGCATGGGGGCTGGCCCCGTTCTGCCCGCCTGGCATTCCGGTTGGGGCACGGGGGCTTACCCCACTCTGTCCACCCGGCATTCCAGCTGGGGAGCAGGCAAGCCCTCGACCCCGCTCCCTGGCAGGAGTGCTGGTCAGCCAGAGCCGGGCAAGCCCCCGGGCCCTGACCCCACTATGCTCCTGCCTCAAGCAAGCTTCACGGTCATCACTGGTGAGTACAGTATTGTTTGTTTAAAATTATTTAAAACTTATTCTGTATGTATATAATGTCTTTTGTCTGGTGAAAAAAATTTCCCTAGAACTTAAGCCACCCTATTTACATTAATTCTTATGGGGAAATTGGATTTTCTTAACATCGTTTTGCTTTAGTAGCATTTTTCAGGAACAACTACAACATTAAGTGAAGAGTTACTGTAAGTACTTTCAAAAGACTGTATCAAAACAGGTGCAGTTGTTTTGAAAACTTTCATGGGAGAGGTTCCCAAAGCACTTCCTGCTTTATGAGCTGTACCCAGCACGTACAGCCGTGAGGGGGGACCTTTCCCAGAAAATGCTCTTCAGTTTATAGGGCAGGCACTGATCTAGAAGGGCTGTAAGAGAACCTGGCAACAGGATTTTGATTGGGACTGAGAGGCTCTCTGGTATCTCCATGTGATTTAAAAAGATTCACAGTCCTGGCTCTGTTCGTTGGGACTACTTGTATGTGTAATTGTTTGGAGCATTCAGTCTCATGATGGTAAATGCTTCAGGACAGGGACTTCTTTATACATGTTTGTAAAGCACCTGGCATGCTGTGCACATTTTGTAAATCGTAATTTCATGCTTCATGTTTTCAAGACCTTGTTCTCTCTTCAAATATCCTATTTTATTGTAAAGGCATGTACCGAGGAGTGGGTAGCAGAGTGAGGCTAGCTGTCTGAAAGGTTCCTGAGCCAGTGCAGGGGAGAATAGATTTGTGTGTGGGGGGGTTAATATTGATGTATCTTAGTATTCCTTTAGAGTCTGATACTACCCATTTATTGTAATGTCAATAGGAGTAGGCCTTTTAGAAAGAAGCAACGTGCATTCCCCCAAGTTCTGCTGAATCAGTATGCTGACTAGCATCTTCAGCAGACATATGAAGGGCTATGCTACATAGAGATCACCCTAACCCCTGCTCCAGCCTACTATTCAAGAGCGTATTAGTCTGGAGTCCTTTCAAGTTACTCTGCAGGTGTGTCAGAAAGGGAAAGGATAAGAGAGGTTTTTGGTAAGGCATTGGCTGGGGAAAATGAACCTGATGGCAGATTACCTGTTCTGTAAGGTAGTCCTGACTTTCCAGTGGGGGGAGCGGGTGAATAATGGATGAGCATAGGAGCTGAGATAGGTCCTGTTAATTTTTTTAATTCTAAACTCGTTATTGGGGGATGGGGAAGAAGAAGAGTGACATTATTTAATTTGTCTTCATTTTCTTTATTATGCCATGTAAATAGTTCATAGATTATAACAATCTTTGAGAGGGTTATTTCATTTTAAATACCAGAAGTAAGTTGAGCTTTGTGAAACCCCAAAAGGGAAAACAGTACTTCTGCATAATTATCTGGCCAGCCAGACCATTCCATGCTAGACAGGAATTTCAGCTTTGTTACCAGCTTTTGACCTCCCAATTCATGGAGTATTCTAATGTAAGGGATATTGTGGCAACAAAGGACAGTCAGAAGGTAACAAACCCAGAACTTAACCACGGTAATATGGTTGCTAGCTGGGGATGAATCTTCATCTTCAGTGAGACAAGCAAGAAGAATATCCGCAAGATTCAGATCTTTTACCTTGTTTTGGTTACTGTAATTTATATAGCAAATACCGCACAGCCCTTGGAGCACCAGGATCCTCACATTTGCTGAAGTGTCTGGCATGTTCAAGATATCAGTTAGGTCCTGGATGTATTCTGATGCGCATAGTCCAGCATTTGGCCCACCTGCAATGGAAGAAGCTATCTGTAGTAGGTCATTGGCTAGTTCATCGTTTGCATGTACACTGGAAATTCTGAGCTCAGGCTTCCACAGAACCTTTAGATTAGTTCCATTGTGCGTGCCACTGAGGAAACTATTGTATAGGTGAAGGACAGCCATGGGGCTGAGGCCCCCTCTACACTGGCAAGTTTGTGCGCAGTGAAGCAGCTTCGAGTGCTGTAACTCCTGAGGTGTACACACTGCCAGGCCGCTTAGTGCGCAGAAATTGTGCACGTTCTGTGCTCTAACAAAACCACCGCAGTGAGAGGCGTAGAGCTTTCTGCGCTGGGGCTACAGCACTGCAGCGTCCGTGTCGACACCGTGGCAATTACAGCGCTGCAGTTGGCCTCCGGGAGGCTTCCCACAATGCCTGTTCTTGCCTCTCTGGCCATCGGGTTGAACTCTACTGCCCTGCCCTCAGGTGACCAACCGTCAGCCCCACCCCCATACATTCCTTTGCAAATTTGAAAGTCCCCTTCCTGTTTGCTCGGCGATGCGTGCAGTGGTCTCAGCGCATCTTTCCAGGTGGCCAGGCCTGCTCCACGCACCAGGCGTAATGCCGAGTTGCTGGACCTCATTGCCATTTGGGGAGAGGAGGCTGTCCAGTCCCAGCTGCACTCTAGCTGTAGAAATTGATACCTATGGACAGATTGCTAGAAGCATGATAGAAAAGGGCCATGGCCAGGACCCAGAGGCAGAGGACTACTCAGGAGCTCTTTTCTACCCAGAGTCGCCTAGCCAGTCACAGCAGTCGGATCTTGGCGAAGTGCAAACAGGAGAGGAGGCCCCTGGTAAGTGGATCTGATTTTGGGAATTGCTGAAGCAAGTTGTTGGGGGCAGGAGGGTTGCAGAAAACAGGCTGGTCTCCCACCTCATGCCTAGTGTGAGTGGTGGAACGGGTTATTGATACACTCCCTCACTTCATGGGAATCTCCCTCGGAGATCTCCAGGAAATGCTCATGGAGATACTGGGCAATCGGCTGCCTCAGGTTCCTCGGCAGAGCTGCTTTGTTTCTTGCCCCATTAACGGTAACTTTCCCACACCAAAAAGAAAAGGAGTACTTGTGGCACCTTAGAGACTAACCAATTTATTTGAGCATGAGCTTTCGTGAGCTACAGCTCACTTCATCAGATGCATACCGTGTCTGCTGCAGTTTCCACGGTATGCATCTGATGAAGTGAGCTGTAGCTCACGAAAGCTCATGCTCAAATAAATTGGTTAGTCTCTAAGGTGCCACAAGTACTCCTTTTCTTTTTGCGAATACAGACTAACACGGCTGTTCCTCTGAAACCTTTCCCACACCACTGTGCCATCATGGGAGGGACAGTACACATTGCTGCACACAGGCTAGCCGCATAGGGGCCAGGGTGGAAGTCACAGGCTTAGAGAAGACCCTCCTTTGTTTCCCTGCTCACCCTTGGCTGTGAGACATCTTCCATAATCATCTCCTGTGGCAAGTGTGGGGACAGGAATGATTATCAGGCCCACCCTACAGTGTTGTCTCTCCCCAAGAGCCACATGCCCAGTGTACAACAGGGTCCAGGAACAGTGATTTACCCTGTCCCTGTGGCTACTTACCACTTTGGGGGTCTTGTGGCTTTATTGGCAGCAGAACACTTACAAAGAATTAGGAAGCATCCAAGAAAAACTAAGGAGGACTTTATGCATGAGGTTATGATGCACTCGGCTGCTGAGAAGGAATTGAAGGAGTGGCGGGACAGCAAGAAGAGGGACCAAAAGAAGAATGTGGCACACCAGAAAGAAGCCACAGAGCGGCTCTTAACAGTTATGGAGTGCCAAGCAGCCATGCTCCAGGCGATACTAGCTCTGTGCCCACCCGCCCCTGCAGCTGCTGTTGCAAAACTTTCCCATGTGCGCCCCCCCCACTGTCAGCACACTCTTATCAACCCCCTGGCTCCAGTCTGTACCTGCTGCATTCCACTGCTATCCTGCACAGTCCAGCCCTGTGGACTCCTAGTACCCATTGCGCTCAACACTCATCCCTCTGCAGTTTAGCCCTGCATCTGCTGCATTGTACTCCAAAGGAGAAGGTTGGGTATGATCCCTGGACATACAACAAATCTGTAGCCGTCCCCGCACCCCTCCTCCTCTTGAGACCTTCCCTTCCCCTATTCCCCTCCCTGCTGATGATTTTTTTCTTCATTTGACTCTCTCCTCTAATTGTTTTTGAATAAAATAATTGTTTGAAAGCAATCGTTATTCTATTAAGTAAAAGCACAAAGAGCAATGGAAAGCAAGATACAATGATGTTAAGGCCCCTTCTTGCATCATGTGCACCAATCACCTCCTAGCATTACAAGCACTGCAATCCTGAGCATAGCAACAACTATGAGTGGCTTTCAGCTTCAAATTGCTGTCTCTCAGCATCCCTGTTCCTTATGGCCCCGCCCTGTGCCCCTCTAATATCCCTGGTCTCTGGCTGTTCAAACTCAGCCTCCAGGTGCTGAACCTCTGCGGTCCAGCCCTGAGTGAAGCTTTCACCCTTCCCTTCCCAAATATTATGGAGAGTACATCATGCGGCTATAAACATATGAATATTGTAATTGGCCATGTCCAGCTTCCCATACAGGCATCGCCAGCAGGCTTTTAAAGGGCCAAATGCACACACCAGTCATTCTGCACTTGATCAGCCTGTTGTTGAACCACTCCTTGCTGCTGTCCAGTTGCCCCATGTACGGCTTCATGAGCCATGGCATTAAGGGGTAGGCAGGGTCTCCCAGGATCACAATGGGCATTTTGCCTTCCCCTATGGTGCTCTTCTGGTCCGGGAAGAAAGTCCCTGCTTACAGCTTCTTGAACAGGCCACTGTTCCAAAAGATGTGTGCATCATGCACCTTTCTGGACCAGCCTGCGTTAATGTCTGTGAAATGCCAACAGTGATCCACAAGTGCCTGGAAAAGCATTGAGAACTACCCCTTGCGATTAATGTACTCAGTGGCACACCAGGTGTGGGGGAGGCAGGGTCAACCAGGCAGGATCCAAGTGTTGGGGGCTCAGTGTGGAAGAATAAAGGTGTGGAGATGAGAGGTTTCTGTGTGGGACAATCTGAGTGCACAGAGGCTCATTGGGGAGTTCCAGGTGCAGGGACAATGGGACTCTGCAGGGGCTTCCAAGTGAAGGTGGTTGGGGCTCAGTGGAGGAGTCTGGGGGGGGGTCTAGGTGCAGCTAGTTGGGGGTCAGTGTCATGGGGGTCTGGATGTGGGGACTCAGGGTGGTGCAGGAGGAGGGTTCATCACTGTGGGGGTTTGAGTGCAGGGAACTCGGGGGGGTACTCGGTGCAGGGGGGCTCTGTGTGCAGGGGTTGAGGTTCAGTGGGGTGGGGTTTGGGTATGGAGGGCTAGGGGGGTTCTGGGTGTACAGGGTAAGTTTTGGCATGGGTGTCTGGGTATGGGAGGTCTGGATGCACAGCGGCTGGGGGAGCAGCTCCCCATACAGTGATCTCTCCCCCTGCAGCTAAGGAGAGGTGGGGGCAGGCAGGAAGGGAGGATGCTGAGCTTCCTGAAGCTGGGGAAGGTTTCTGGGGGTGGGTCTGACACAGCCCTAAACACTCGTTGCAGGGGAAGAGGAAGTCCTGTCCTCTCCTGCCTCCAGCCCAACCAGGACTAGCAGCTGATCCTGGCTCAGGGTAGGAACCACTGGCTGGGGTGTCTTCAGCCCCACAGTGATTTACCTCTCTGCTGGCTGCCTGAAACAATGTACCTGCACTGTTAGGGAGTGGTGTGTGACTGCTCTTGCAACTTCCCTTTGCTTCCCTGTCAGAAAGTCATTTTTCTGTGGGGAAGCAAAGAAATCTGTGGGAGACATGAATTCTGCACATGAACAGAATTCCCGCAGGAGTAGTTTGTGTTTTTTCAGAACTGCATTCGAAGTTGGTAGCAATTTAAGCTGCTTACGTTGTGTTGTTCTTTAATCTGATTCTGACATTTATCATCTGAATTTCCTGCTATAGGGCATATTTATCACACATTTTTCCTTTTTATCAGAACAATAGCACATTGCAATTCAAAAAAAGAATTTCATGTCCTAAAAAACATTTGGGGTCTTCGTCCAAGGAATAAATGCTGAGAAGGCACTTTGTGGCATCACTGTGACTACTAAAATGCAATCTAGTTATATAAGCGTAAATCTGTCACTGCCCCCTCTTTTCTCCCCTTCTCTCCATTCACCACCATTCCCCCTCTGTCAATGCAGAATTCACTGCATGCTGCAAAACCAATGTGGTATCACTAAGGAGTGGCAGTAATGGGACAGAATTCGGGGATCTCACACCAGTTGTGCACAACCAAACACAGCTACATGGATTAGCCGTGTAACCCAGCAACACAGGCAGGTTGAGGGAAGAGTTGAGAGCAGGCTCAGTAATGTTATTGGTCCAGCAGTCATTCCCATCAAAGAGCTACAGGTGAGTTTCAGAGAACATCTTCCCCCACAAACTCATCAGGTCTCTCCAGTGCCCAGCCTGGTTCATTGGGCTGTGCAGTGGGGTCAGGATTTGCCATTTAATGCAAGAAAACTGTGAGTGGCAGCAGATGGAATAGACTGGAAATAACTTCAGAACAAGAAACATGGGTTGTCGTCTGCAAATGTTGCCCTCTGATATGTAAAAAGATTGTCTGTCTATGAACAGCACAGTGCCTAGTACACAGTAAAAGCATCTCTGCATTAGCTTTGGGCTGATAAGCCATTTTTAGTGGCAAAAATATTCATTTAAGTGAGCATTTTAAAATGCAGACATTACAAGTAATGGTGATTTACATGGGTTCTTGGGCACTCTTGTTGCATAAATCCACTGATAGCTGCCAGTCTGGCTTCTGAACTTGGCTGAGCTATTCTCTAGAAAACTTGGCCAGATTGCAGAACACATGATGAGTGAGTTAGACTTAAATTTTTCTGTGGAAAAAATTGTGAGATGAAGACATCATGTTCATTAGCTCTCTCACTGCATGCCTGCCCTCCCTATTCCTGATTCTAGATAGCCAAAAACCTGACTTTCACATCTACTGAACCACTTTCTTCTTGAGTTTTTGGCTGACTTTACACTCCCTAAAGTAATAGAATATCTGCCAGCAGTGTGTACTTGGATCACAACATACCAGTAACTTTTCTCTGTACCTTTTTTTTACATTTAGAAGGGGGATCTCCTCTACCCACAGTGGTACTATGACTAACATATCACATTTCTGAACATTGAGGGCAACTGATTATGAATATTTCTGACAATTATAGTAGGCTTGCTGTCTGGCAGGCTCAGAGAACCCCTTCTTTTCTTAAACAAGCTCAGTATATTATTACTATTTATCCTTACTGTTCATACAGTTTTAAACTTGTGCAGTGGTTCTCAACCAGGGGTATGCGTATCTCTTGGGGTACGCAGAGGTCTTTTAGGGGGTACAGCAATTCATTTCTAGATAGTTGCCTAGATTTTCAATAGGCTACATGAAAAACACTAGCAATGTTAGTACAAACTAAAATTTCATATAGACAATGATTTGTTTATATTGCTCTATATACGATCCACTGAAATGTCAGTACAATGTTATATTCAGATTGATATATTTTATAATTACATGGTAAAATGAGAAAGTAAGCAATTTTTTAGTAAAAGTAGTATTTAAGTGAGGTGAAACGTAACGGTAGGAAAGACAAATCAGACACTTGAAAAGGGTACAGTAGTCTGGAAAGGTTTAGAAACACAAAAGCAGCTCCCAACAGCTGAAGAGAGGGAATGAAGAACACCATACCCAATTAAAAGGATAGGAAAAACTTAGGACACAATGATAATAAGCCAACACCAAAGCAGCTCCCTTCCTAGGCACGCTTTCCCTGATGACTTCTTCATCTTGTTACAAGAACTTTTCCCCTAGCATATTTTTTGGGGGTGGCTGGTCCTTTAAATTTTTGCAGAGCCAAGCAGCTGCAGTTCTAAAGTCATTTTGTAACCAGCACCTGCTGAATTTCTTTTCCAGCTGGTGAGTACCTGTTCTGTCCCTTCCCTCCTCCCTCTCCCCCTTACTTTTTTTATTGCTAAAGATTAAGGTAGGTGAAAAACAGCAATATTGCTGAATCAAAGCATTTAAAAATCATGAGATTTTAAGTAGTAATAATCATTGGGGTTTTTTTTGTCTTCTGCTCTTGGAGGCTTTAGTGTTCACATTTTCAAGTGTTTCTCCACAACTGCAAGAGCTAGAAATGTATCCTTTTAGAAATGGAAGTTGGGGTTTTCATGTAACCATTAGGAATCCATAAATTAGGGCCTTAACTTATTTTTAAAAATGTAAGGCCTTATTTCCTAACTGACTTCACTGGGAGCAGGACTGGGTGCTATATATTCTGAATTTCATAAACTGTTTTTAGTAGTTGTAGTGGTGCAGGGGAATGGCCTTATTTTAGCACATATATGAAACCGTAGGTTTAAATTATACTGAAACAGCAAACAACAAGCCAGTTTGCCTTGTTACCTGTGTACACTAGCAGTCCAATATTTTTTGCAGCTTGGGCTCTCTGTTCAAGGGGTAGTTGTGTGTTCCTCACATCGGTGCCATATCTAACAATTTTTTGCTTATGAAAAATGCTGTCAGTTGGATTGTAGGGCTCTTCCTTCACAGAAGAGAAAAAGGCTTTGATGAAAGTTTCATAACAAGCTTGGAGCTTCTTAAACATACTTTCAATGACTCCTCAAGAAGTTGTACTTAATAACTTTCTTCAATGTGTGTAGAAATCTGTGTGCTCTGAAATTAAATAGGAAACAGCTGGAAAGCAACAGTTTTAATTCTGATTATGAAGAAAATCCCTCAGGTTAGTAACTAAGCAACACTTTAGAATAAAGTTAATAAACAGAATGAAAAATGGAGGCAGCTCTTTGTTGTAACACAGAATCTGATGACATCAGAGGATTTATTTTAGCAAATCAATGTTCTATGCCCTAATGCCCCCATTTCATTATAACACATTATCTTCTTCAGATGTCTGAATGTACATGTGTTCTGTTGGTTTACACCGTGTGCAGCATGCTACAACCAGGGGGCTGTAATCTTATTTTAGAGCAGGGAAGGAGGGAACAACAGAAACCAGACATGAGCCTATTATATTTCCAGAATAATGTTTTTAATTTAAAACACGATTAAAATAATTTCTCATTTTGCTTTGCAGAAATTCAGATCGTACCAGTCACATAATGATTACCCCTCAACCCTGGGTCTAGTTTTGTGAAAAAGCTCTACACCTTAAATCAATCTGGCTTAAAATGCCTTGTGTAGATGGAGGGTACTGGAGACTAGCATTAGAGCATTGGCTCCACGTTTCTTTGACTTGAGCTAATCAGACCCCTCCACCTTTCCAGGCTGATTTTTCTTCCCTTTCTTTTTTCTGCCTTTTTTGTATGTGTGTTTGGTTTTAATAACTAAAACAATCTGTCACTATAGCGTCTTCTGGCCAGCAGAAAGTTGGGGCTACAAGTCTAGTCACCCATGAAAAAGCAAAAGGGGGGAAAAAAAACAAGCTAGCATTGCCGGTTTTGCCATTGAATTCCATGAGAAGCTGCAGTACTGCATATCTGCCACCATGTTGTGCTGTGTAAAACTATAAATGAACAGCATGCAGGGGCCCAGCCCCATTCACGTGTCCAAGGCCTCCTGGATGTAGTGAGAACCAGAGCACTAAGGTAGTGCTGCACCAAGGTTTAACCATGATTAGCTGACATGATGCTGAACAGGATTTACCCTTGGCTATGCTAACTGCAAAGTAGTGGATAGCATTGTTATTTAACTAGACTTTTCAAAGTTGTGCCTTAATTTTGTAGTGGAGACAAGACCTATCAAACCAGAACTATTAATCCCTTTCCCAGATGTTCTTATGAAATACCTTCATGATAGTACAACAGTGAATCTCTACTTGCAGATTGTTTCCTGGGAGACATCCTACTGCACAAAGGGACCTGCCACAAGTAGCAAACTAAGACCGTAATTAACTATTTGGAGGATTGGCCCCAGTGCCAGCCTGAAGGGAGTTGCACCATTGAGAACTGAGGCCTTCCTTGTCTACAACAGATGGGCTCTGCCCTGTGACAGCTACAGTTATTAGTGGCCACCGATGACTAGTGCTGGGGGCCAATTTCCAGTGTAGACAAAAACCTGAGAAATGTGTATTAAGGTTATTTAGTCCTCACAGTGGAGAAGGCAGAGAACACATTTTATAGTTTGGACCAATGTGTTTAGTGATTAAAAATATTCTTTATTATAATTTAACGATGATAGGAAATATGAGTAGGCAAAAAATAAGCAGATGTCAGAACAAAAGAACATGATGGGAGAATAAGTTCATGCAGTAGCTGTGATATAAAAACCATGACATGGTTATTTAACCATCTGTAAAAAGAGCCTATTTCCTTCAGTAAACAAGTAAATATTTCAGACTGTACAAATGTACCTTTAATTACAGGAAGAATATATATATATATATTTATAAATATACAGCTGTATATACATTGTTGGTAACATTCACAGTCAGAAAAACTGTCTGCCACTGTATTTGGCGCACAAGGCTTCTTTTCGAAGTGAACTTTTAGTGATCCTTTTCTGTATAGTCTATCAGAAGCTGGATGTTTTAATTAACATCTAAATAGTATTTCATGTCAGATGTACTGCAGTACAACAATGCTCTTCTGTTAAATTACACTCACCTCGTCCGTTAATTTAAGGGCTATAATCAATAGCTTGAAGCACTCAGTCTTTCATACTTGGAGTTGGAGGGGGAGGAAACGCTTTTATTTGCACCCTGTCTTTAACAGCTCCAAGGTCCTCTTCACTTTGCTTTAATTCTTTATACTGAAATTACTCTATAGCAAGCTGCTATGCACTAGCCAGAGTGCATGTAGCCCACTCCTTCTTGTAACCTAGGAAACAAAAATGGCTTCAGGGATTCAGGCAATTGTATTATATTCACTTTTTCTTTTTGAACAATGAGCACATGTAACCTTCCATTTATTTCTATAAAACCCACGTAATTGCTTGATAGCACAAGCAACTCCCTGGATTAATCATGGTTCATTACTGGAGGGTGAGAGGGAGGAAATAAAAGACCAGCAGAGGCATTTAAAATGAGTCAGTGAAATAACATCTCCTGGGGTTTACAGCCTGTTGTTTCTGGAGGCAAAACTTGATTTGAAGAAACTTGATCTATATTTCATCGTTAAAATCAATCTGGATAGCTGAGTTTCAGTCCAGGCTGATATAATGCTGCTAGGAACCCTGCAAGGCATCCAACACTTAGCGCAATGTGGAGCGAAAGCTGCTTTGTAGTTCCACTTTTCCACTTTGTAATTCCCTACCTTTCCTTTTTAGATGCAGCATCACATTTCAAGCTTACACAACAACTTCAATAAAACAAGTGCAAAATTGTGTAAAAATATGAAAATGCTGAATTCTAAAATCTTATATAGAAGTTTGCTGAGACTGATTTATTACATCATTTACTCTGAAGCACTTGAAGAAGCATTATCTTCAACATACAACTGTTCTATCATAAGCTAGGAAAAAAAGCCAATAGGAACTCAATAACTGGAATTTACACTTTTTTTTTTTCTTAAGTCTATAAATTGCTAACTTTCAGGACATTCTTTAGAATTCTTCAAAAGTTTTTTTTTTTTTGTTTTTTTTTTATTAAAGCAGTTGAATTACAGCACCATTCCAGTTAATGTGAACAGTCATAATGACTGTTAACTGTTAGGTAAATTATCTTGCATCTAAAAAGCTGTGGCAACTTCAGTCCCCCGACGGCCTCCAACTTTAACAAATTCCCGAGGAAATTTATCCAGCTGTTCATATGCCAGTCGCCCATCTTCACCTGAGCACAAAACAGTCAAGTGTAAATAAAACATTGCATCATTTGTGTACACAAAATCACACACCCTGCATTCCTTTCTGTGGAAAGAATTGCTTTGCTGATGACTTTTTCCATAGGAATTTTCATATGTTCAGTGCAAATTAAGAAATTAGCCACAAATATTGAGCGTGCTGTGAATGTTCAAGCTACTCCTTAAAAACTTTTACTCTGCATCTCTGTAGTAGTAGATAACCCATATACTGTTTACTTGCATAAATATATTGGAACGCCATTGCCTACTCTTTCCCACTATCTGTCGTCTCAAAAAGCTATCTTCTATCAAATGTTTTTGGATGGTATATAAAAATTCTATCACTTTCACACCACATTTTCAGAGGAAATGGATTAATATGCAATAGGATGGTGGCCAGAGTGTAATTTTTAAATGTTATTTGTACAGGCAATCTACTAAATTCACTAATGGTGTAGTAAGGATTCAGTTTTATATGAAATTGTGTAAAATTGTGGGCACTTATCAAAATAAATAGACAAAGGAAGGATTTGAGTAAATTAAAACATGATATACTCTCATTTTTAATGAGAGCTACAGATCTGTAATAAGGAGTATGGATTTATAGATGGTCTGAATACCATTACAAAAGTTTGGGCTAAGTGGGGAAGATTTGTTTGGAGCAAAGATGAAGCAGGTGAGCCTTGTGATCATGTGATGCTGTTTGCACAGGTGTACTGCTAAATGGTCTGTGTCTTTCCAAGCTGAGTTTACCTATGACACAAATAGAAAAGAGTAAGCAGTGCTTTTGCTGTATCTTACCAGCTTTCCTTTTTCATTATTGTTTTCTGTTTGAACTTCATTACATTATGTCCAATCTAATATCTTGCATGTGCTTTCAGAGAAATGAATGAGGTCTTCATGTGCTATAAGGCAGGTCAGAGTGGGAATGTGATCTTCTACGCAAACAACCCTGAGTTAAGGTTTTTTTGTGTCCCAAGCAATACCATATCCAATAACAGAATGAATTCTTGGTGAACTAGTAACGCTCATACTGGGTGAGAATAAAGGTCCATCTAGCCCAGTATCCTGTCTTCCGACAGTGGCCAATGTCAGGTGCCCTAGAAGGAATGAACAGAGCATCCATCCTTTGCCGCCCACTCCCAGCTTCTGGCAAACAGGATATGGACACCATCCCTGCCCATACTAATGGCCATTGATGGACCTATCCTCCATCAATTTATCTAGTTCTTTTTTTGAATCCTGTTATAGTCTTGGCCTTCACAACATCCTCTGACCAGGAATTCCACAGGTTGACTGTCCGTTGTGTGAATAAATACTTCCTTTTGTTTGTTTTAAACCTGCTGCCTATTAATTTCATTTGGTAACCCCAAGTTCTTGTATTATGAGGAGGAGTAAATATCACTTCCTTATTTACTTTCTCCACACCAGTCATGATTTTATAGACCTCCACAATATCCCCCCTTAGTAGTTTCTTTTCCAAGCTGAAAAGTCCCAGTCTTATTAATCTCTCCTAATATGGAATCTGTTCCATACCCAGAATCATTTTTGTTGCCCTTTTCTGTAGCTCTTCCAAATCCAATATATCTTTTTTTGAAAGGGGGTGACCAGATCTTCATGCAGTACTCAAGATGTGGGCATACCATGGATTTATAGAGGCAATATGGTATTTTCTGTCTTATCTCTCCTTAGCTTTTTTGACTGCACTGCATAATGAGTGGATGTTTTCAGAGAACTATCTACAGTGACTCCAAGATCTCTTTCTTCAGTGGTAACAGCTAATTTAGACCCCACTATTTTATATGTATAGTTGGGATTATGTTTTCCAATGTGCATTACTTTGCATTTATCAACATTGAATTTCATCTGCCATTTTGTTGCCCAGTTTTGTGAGGTTCCTTTGTAAAACTTTTTGCAGTCTGCTTTGGACTTAACTATCTTGAGTAGTTTTGTTTTTCCAGATCATTTATGAATATGTTGAACAGTACTGGTCCCAGTACAGACCCCTGTACCACTGGGGACACCACTATTTTCCTCTCTCCATTCTGAGAGCTGACCATTTATTCCTACCCTTTGTTCCTATATTATAACCAGTTACTGATCCATGAGAGGACCTTCCCTCTTATCCCATGACTGCTTACTTTGCTTGAGAGCCTTTGGTGAGAGACCTTGTCAAAGGCTTTCTGAAAATCTAATTACACTATATCCACTGGATCACCCTTGTCCACATGCTCATTGACCCACCTCAAAAAATTCTAATAGATTGGTGAGGCATGATTTCCCTTTATAAAAACCATGTTAACTTTTCACCAACAAATCCTGTTCATCTATGTGTGTGATAGTTCTGTTCTTTACTATAGTTTCAACCAGTTTGCCTGTTACTGAAGTCAGACTTACCAGCCTGTAATTGCTGGGATCGCCTGGAGGTTTTTTAAAATTGGTGTCACATTAGCTATCCTCCAGTCATCTGTTATAGAAGCTGATTTAAATGATAGGTTACATACCACAGTTAGTAGTTCTGCAATTTCACATTTGAGTTCCTTCAGAACTCTTGAGTGAATACCATTTGGTCCTAGTGACTTAAACTAAATAGTAATATCAGTTTGTTCTGAAACCTGCTCTAATGGCACCTCAATCTGGGACAGTTAGTCAGATTTGTGACCTGAAAAGCATGGCTCAGGTTTGGGAATCTCCCTCACATCCTCAGCTGGGCAGACCAATGCAAAGAATTCATTTAGTTTCTCCACAATGGTTTTATCCCCTTTCAGTGCCCCTTTAGCATCTCGATTGTCCAGTGGCCCCACTGGTTGTTTAGCAGGCTTCCTTCCTTTGATGTACTTACAATTTTTGCTGTTACTTTTTGAGTCTTTGTCTAGCTGTTCTTCAAATTGTTTTTTGGCCTTCCTAATTATATTTTTACACTTCTCTTGCCAGAGTTTATGCTCCTTTCTATTTTCCTCAATAGGATTTAACTTCCACTTTTTAAAGAATGCCTTTTTGCCTCTCACTGCTTCTTTTACTTTGTTGTTTAGCCACAGTGGCACTTTTTTGGTTCTCTTATTATGTTTTTAATTTGGGGTATACATTTAAGTTGAGCCTCTATTATGGTGTCTTTAAGAAGTTTCCATGCAGCTTGTAAGTGAGTGTGAGAAACAGAAGAGTGTTTGAAGAACTTTCACTGAAGTGGTGCATGTAGCCTCATTCAAAGACTCAGTTGCTCAGCAGTAGTGGGCTTAGG